TTCTTTAGATATGTTTGGCAAAAGAGACAGACAAAGGAGAGTGTATTCCCTCCGAAGAAATTTTTTACTCAGAGGGTGGTGAGGCACTGGAAGAGGCTGCCCAGAAAAGTTGTGAATGTCCCATCTCTGAAGCAGTTCAAGGCATCCTGAGCAGCCTAATCTAGTGGCTGGCAATCCTGCCCATTGCAGGAGGGATTGGAACTAGATGATCTTAAATACCCCTTCCAACCTAAGCCATTCTATGATAGGATTCTTTAATCTATATCAGATTTATTCCTTTTTATCCTTTGATTACCTGATATTGTCATATTATAAATGAGTATTTTTTGCCTACTTCTTGCTTATTATTTCAAATGAATTCATCAGCACAAAGCTTTTCTTTTACTGGACTATCTTCTGACCAAAATAGGAACCATGATTTACCAAAGGAAATAAAGCCAATCGAGTGGAAAATTCTGTATTGAAAGTAGTGAAAAAAAATCACCATCTTTTCTGTATATGTAGAAATAATGTTAGCTTCTGATAAAACATGGTGCTGATTAATATTTCTTTTTATCAACTAGGTTATTACTCATTTTCAAAATGTCTATGCATTATATAGTTATATTTCCTACACAGAGCACATAAGCTGAACTCCTTATCAGGAGAAATGAGTTGTAGATATCTTAATCATATACATATTTGAGGTGCCTAGAATAGTATCTATCTGATTGCATTCTGTAGTCTAATTGTAGTCAACGGATGCCCTTAACAGCATTTGCCAACTGCTAATTTTGCCTTATGGTACTTTACTTGTAATCTTAGCAAACAAAATCAGTGACTCTTCCTGTTTAATTCTGAATAATGCTCTTTGCATAATATGTTTGGGGAAATTCATCATATGAATATTTCTTGACTGAATACATTATCCTACATAAATTAGGCTTTATGTATGTATATATATATATATGTACCATAAAAGTATAATATGCTTCAATATAATCAAACTATTATCTAAAATATAAAAGTAATTTTTCATATGCTTACTTTTTGCACAGTCTTTGCAAAAGGTTAGAATATTTATTGCATAAAAGCTTTGCTCCTTTCACTGATCAGAATACGAAGTTGTAGAAATAGGGCTTGAGCATGTAAAAACTATTGTCTACATGAATTACTGTTGACACTATACAAATGATAAGTCCCAAAGAGTGAAGACTTGAAAGATTTATTTCCTGGACTTGGAAGTTTGTTTTTTTTTTTTTAATTTACTTTTTAATTCAAGTCAGATACACAGCTCTTATATACCAGAAAACTTTTCATGCTTTGACAGTAAAAGGAGACCAATATGTTAAATAAGCAATGTGAAATTATGTTTGCACAAATTATAATTAGAACCAAAATGGCTGATGGGTGTTGTTCTGGTCATTTACACCAGTATTGCAGCTCTGTAGCCCGAGTTTAATTAGCAGAGTTAATCATGATTGATCAGTCTCATGGAAACGGACGGTGTCACATTCTGACTTGCTCCGAGTAAGTGTTGGAGCCAGTGAGATGGTAGAGAGATGTGATCAGCTCCCTGATTTTAGGGCCAGGACTGATTCCAGTGAAAATGGAAGCTGCTGCCAAGGAGCTTAGTGTTGTCAGGTCCTGGGCATTAAGCCACTGGAAAATAGCCATGCTGGATTTCTGTTCTGCTGTCCCAGCTCTCTCCACGTGTTGGAAGGAGACATGGAAACACAGAGCCCAGCTGTACTGCAGATGCATCAGCTCAGATGCACGCTCTCTGGAATACTTGTTTCTGGGTTATAGCCCAAAGGGACCAAAACCCAGCTTCTGAATCTGTTATTCTAAAACAAGTAGGCTTATCAGTGGAAAAGGAGCAGGAAAATGAAGCAAAACTGAGTGCTCAGAATTCTTACTTGTAGGCACCTGAACAAAAAACTCCCTGTGCAGTACATGAAAAGACACAGCCTAATAAGAAGGTCAGTGAGAGCTGGAGTCTGCTTTAGGTGAACAACATCTCATTTACTCCAATTTTAAATCATCACTAAGATATTTTAGAATTGGCACATGCAAAACACCTATTCTTCCATTATGTGACACTTTTCTTGATTTTATGTTTTTTTTTTCTTGCCTAGTACTAATTAAAAAGTTGATATCCCAACTGCAAGATAAAATTTCACTTTTCTAATCAGATTTTAGAAGTCTTTTTGAAATTTTCACCTTTTACTTTTTCAATTATAGCTTTACTGTATTTTAATTAAAATACTAAAGGAGGACTTGACCTTCAAGAAACTTTTTGGTTTAAAGTGTTTAAAGCATTTTAATAGCTCAGAAACACTTTCTGATTATTTTCTTAGCAGGCACTTGCTTAACAGAATGAATAATTTTTGTTTTCCACAAACCAACATTTTTCTAATGAAAGAAACTTGAAAATTTCTCAGCTAGTTCTAAATTAAAACAACTTAGCTTTACTGTGTTTGCACTTCTTTTGTGTCTATTTTCTTCAAACACTGTAGCAAATTAGTTTACTGAAAGAAATACTGAAAAAATAGCAAATAATGATATAATGGTGGAAAACAATCATCAAATCAACATTTCAGATTCTAGTGAGTAATACATAGAGCATAATGTGATACTCAGAAGTAAACACATCTAGCTATTTTGCCTGTCCCATGTGACCTAAATACCCAATTAAACCAAATTTAAATACTTTCTATTTTGCATGAAATTGTTTGGGTACTCAAGGAAGTTTCAGCTTAAGAATTATTTAAAAAACATTCTGTGTCCTATAAGATCAAACAAACACACATGTTTATTTGATAATTTATTTAAGAAAAAAGCAAACAACAACAACAAAAAGAGAAATGAAATTGTGACTATACTATATGAGCATCACTGTTGTCATGAGGTATTTGTGCAATTCTTACCAACAGGTTACCTCACATAAACAGGATAAAAAAGTTTGACTTCATTGTCTTTATCTACCATAAAGTTACATATTGTTTGCTGTACTTTGCACATGTGTTCATGTGTGACTTCCCACAGCCAATCCAAATGAGTATCAACAGAGAGGAAACAATAACACACAGAAACTAAAATTGTCTATAAAGCGTTATGATATGATGAGGAAGGTTACCAACAGCACATTCTGCCTGCTATTTAGACTAATTACCAAAATTAACTTTGGACGTGGCCACAGATGTTCCAGGCTCATGATATTCAGGCCTAGATTTTTTATTTGAACAATTTCTGCAGGCCAGTATTTAACCTCCCATTCAAACGTGCAGCTGATGTCCCCACAAAAAGAAAAAAAAAAGAATGATCTGCACTTACAGTAGGCTTAAAAAACACTGGAGAGATTCAGCCTGATACAAAAGGTCAGGAAGGGAAGGATATTCTGTGTAGTTAGAGAAGCTTTTGACATAGCTGTTTCTCTTCACAAAAGAGCAATCCTTTGATATAATTGAAAAATGCTAACAAAATGCATGGCATAGTATTATAATAAGTAATTTCAGCATTGTATTGTCAGCCATAGTTAAATAGCACGATGTATTTTGGAAAAAAAAAATATATATATATATATATATTTTTATGGAGTCAAAACATGAGTCAATACGCCATAAGGATCTTGGCATCTTATATGAACTTATGCATATGCACCCCAAAGGAAGGTTCTTATCAAAAATTGTTGCTGGTGAGATTAAACAAATTCAAAGATGACAAAGGGGACAAGCAGTACATATTCACTGAAGGAATCATAGAATGGCCTGGGTTGAAAAGGACCATAATAGTCATCTAGTTTCAATCCCCCTGCTATGTGCAGGGTCACCAGCCACAAATGAAAAAAGTGAGTAAGCCAGAAAAGAGAGAAGCAGAGCCAGCATTGTAAACTGGAGGTAGAGAATAAAAATCAATTAGTTTTGTGTATTTTGTATACATAAAGTTTATACTTTCACTAGTTGAAACAACGTTAGTTATAATCAGAATGGAGAACATGCTTACTTGCAGGTAAACTCATCTACCATATCACCTCTCAGGGGTATTTATTACCAGAACCAAAACTTGTAAAAGACAAACTAGGAAATGTAGTTACCAGTTAAGTAAAAAGGCACCTTGTAGTTATTTTCAGGAGGACCTAATTGTTGATTGTGCTACTTCTTGATTGTCACTGAAGTTACTGTAAATGCCTAAGTACTCTTGGAAAACCACCCAACTGTAAATCCTTAAGCATCAAAATACTTGAAAACATTTGGTTTGATGACCCTAGAAATATTTTAAAGACACATTCTAAGACAGACTCAGTGAGCTGCTTAGAAATCAGGAGAAAAAAACGTCACCAACTTAGTAGATTAGCTTTTTCTTTATCATATTATGGTACATCCTATTGCACAGCTGTTTCTGAAATAGCTTACTATAACTGTTGTACAGAAAAATGATGATTAACTCAGAAGAGACATGCTTTAAAAAATTCAGGACAATATATTTAGGCTAATAATATTTCTGAACAGCTTGTTTGGGAGAAAAGGTACTTACTTTACACATTTGGCAAGCATGCTATACTGCATCTACATGAGAAAAAAGAATAAGAACAAGCAAAGTGTTACATGATATTAAATAAGATCAGATGCAGTTCTTGAATAATGCATTCAGCTGCACTTGTTCCAATTCAGAAGTGAAAATAATTATTAATAAACTATATTTTAAATATTAAATATTTAATCAAACTTACACAAGAACATTTTCGCAATGAAAGATTGATTCCAGAAAAAAACACAGAAAAAAACATCCAAGGACAAAGAAAAAACAAAATTGACAACTAAGAACAACTGACAATGCAGGCAACAGTGCTCAAGAGGTTGTACACCAAAATGAACATATGTCACTCTGCTGTCGTTTGGAACTGTTGAGTCACAGCCTGAACCACTGATTGATCACCTGAGGAAAGGACTGAGTCAGCTGTGGCAGCACTGGTGAAGGCAATTCAGCTGTGTGACCTTCTTGATTCCATTTAATTGCTGAGTGCCACTGGGGAAGGATCTCTTTTTGGCTATCCTTCTTCTGTGGAGTCTTTCTTGTGAACCTGGATCTTTGGACGTAGGTGGGCATTTCTTCACTGATTGTTTCTTTTCCCATTTTTACCACAATAATCTTTCCAGCTATAACACCAACTGTAACAACTGTGCATGTAGACAGATACATGTTCTGTTTTAAGTATTATTTTAGATATTATTTCAGTAAGCAATCTCCACAGATGTCCTGAAGCTCAGTTGGAACAATTGTGGTTACTCTGGCAGATAAGGACAATCACATTTTAGGTTAATATCAGGGATCAACATGTGCTGGAGTGTGGAGGCATGTGCTTTTTGTTAAGTTGCCAATCAGGGCAGGTAGAGTGAAACTGGTATGGAAATAAACAAATGCTTTAATTTTAGTTTTCTACGAGGAAAAAAAGAATCCCTACGTGGTAGGCCTTTGTATAACTTCCTACTTCATAAATGCTTTTTTTAAATAGCAAACAGAAATGAGGAGTACTACTGAAATTCCATTAAGTAATTTCAACTTTAGGATTAGAGGAAAATGCAAATGAAAGTTATTTTTCTTTTGAAGTGGAATGTTCCAGTGTAGCCAGCCATGAGGAACTAGCCTTTAATATTATCAGTCATATAGAAAACCCTGACGTGCCAGACTATCTTCTATTCATCATAGCTATACTAACCTGAAACTAGCATCGAGATTTGGATTTAGCCCTACTCTGTGAAGGACTGCACATTTTTCCATTCCTGACTATCATTTATTTTATGCAATATAATTGAGATAAATTTCTGACATAGCCATATCCACCTGGTTATATCCAAGTTTACTGATTTGTGCAGGTCCTGTTGTCATGATGACCTGAGGAAACCTTTTTTTAACAAAACAAAAAAAAAACTAATTGTTTTTAAATCTTTGCATACAGATTTGTCTAAGAAAGTTCTTAATGGCTGGTTTTCAAATTAATATTGGATTTATATTGCTTATAACTATGCATGATCCAAATCTCCACATTCTTTTTCTTTTTGATATGGAAAAGCAAAAATAGTTTTTTTGTTTTTTTTAAGTAATGAATATATCAGTGATTTCAATAGATTCCTCACGTATTTTCAAATATCTGGGGATTTGCATAAGATGATTAAAAAAAAAAGTATATAGAGGGAATACAGAAAACTCATCATCTTCTTTAGAAAGTCTATGTTGTTATCCTCTCTTAGAACAAGTAATTTGTAAATCAGTACATATATCTGACAGGTTACACACTGTCCCATTGTATCTAGAAACTACATCCTATTCAGTGTTATTCCAGATAGAGTATTACAATGACCTCTGCGTTCAGACATAGTAATGAGTACACGTGAGCTGAAGGGAGGGCGTACCTGCGGGAGTGTAACATTTGAAATGGAGCCAAGGAAGGTCAGGTTTTTGCACTGACTGAGCTAAGTGATGATTATCCTTTTTGAGCAGAGAACGCTTCGGATCGACTAGAAGTGCATCAACACAAACTGTACATCATAAATCAAAAAGTACTTGAGATACAGCTGGTACAAGGCCAGTATTCAAACAAACATTATGCATTGTCAAGTGGACCAGTACATTAATGAACTTTTTTTTTTCCCCCTTTTCCATCAGATATACAGTTTCTTTGACAAAACTCAGCCTTTAGCATAAAAGAGATTTTTTTTCATGGTTTAAATTTTCACAGTGCTCTTGCATATATTGTTGGTCACTATATGAGATTTAAAATGATTTAACAGTTACATGTTTACCTAGTAAGGTCATTGAGAGTTGCTTTTCTTACCATCTTCATATTGTTTGAAGCTACCCTATTAATTTTGGAATGTTTGTTTTTTTTTCTATATATTTTGAATTCAAAACTGTAATCACAGCATGTTGTTTACTTTCTCCCTATTTCTGTAGCAGCTTTTCATGACTTTTCCTCATTTACTACTTCTCTACTGCTAGAGGGTGATTTAAAGTGACAGATAACAGCACTCAGATCAATTATTTCTACTGTGTGGCTTCTTTCTGCCCAAAACATACTTACTTTTTCCCCCTCTTAAGTGGTTCAAACCCTGTTTCTTTCTTAAGAAAGAAATGTGTTTTGTTTTTCTTATGGCATACAGTTTTTTAATCGTGATATGTTACAATGTCTTCTTCAAAGTCTGTTCCTTCTTTATGCAGATAGGTACTGGAGTGCTGGGAGCAATTAACATAACTCAGAGAACTAATTTCCCGTGGTTCTTTAACTCTGTATTTATGGCTTTTAGAAGAGTGGATCTGTACTCTAAGGATTAGTACAGTCTGTAAATTTTAGTTGTCTGACTTCTTTCTTTTGAGGAATTAAGATAAGAAAAAAATCAGTGGTGGCTAAAATAACAGAACAAAAAAAAACATGCTTTGTGCATTCATTCTCCTTTTTCCTATATGGAAAAAGTTAACACTGCTAAGTTATATTGCAGAAATTTGTAGGTCACTCCGAAAGTAATGCCTCTTGTTTATTTTCATGGAAATTCCAACAGGATACGAAGAGCACAATAACACTATTTGACAGAGCACATTCTCAGCTACAAAACACTACTTTTCAACTTAGGCACCACTATTAGCTACGCATTTTCACCAGTGCTGAACAAGAGCCTGCATGCTGTGCTCATAAAAATCTGCACCAGAGGAGGTGACTCACCATTGCTGTCACAACTGCTGAAATGCACCATCCGCTGCCTCACTGTGTTCACATGCACTGTTTGGTCTCTGTAACCATTCAGCAAAAATCAATGAATGCCTATGGAAGCAATTTTTTTCTGCATGGAGGAAGTCATTGACACACATTTGCTTCATCTGTATTTCCATGTTAGACACCGTTTTGTCAGACTACCCCTCTGCTGCCATCTGTCAAACAGCAACCAAATGTAGTGGATCACTGGTGGGAAGGTTCAAGCTGTCCTGCCATACCACCAACTGTTACTGTGGGCCAACATAATAAGATAAGAGGCATTGCTTTTGGAGCAATTCTTGTACATCTCCTTGTAGCTGGCTCTGTTGCAGATATACTTTATGATTTTTTTTTTTTAAGCTGAACTTGTATCACCCAAAACCTGGTGATGCTTCATCTGCACTCCTATCATCATTGCTCTACCAGTGATTAGAGGAATAATTAGTTTAATGTACACAGAAATTATTTTATTTGTTTCATGTAACAGCTTTTGTCAATGCAATATCATTTTCTTCTCCTTTCATGAATGCAAGCAGTCGTTTTCAAAGTCTATCTGAAAACATTAACAAGTGGTGAAAGAAACCACTGAAGAAAAACTGCTGAGCACCTCCCTTTATTCTTGCCCAAATCAATTTCAGCTGGGATTTTCCATTATAATGCTGCAATGCCTGGGTAGTGCTAATAGTCTTTAATGGCCCTGATTGGCCACACCTGGGCCTGCCCTTACTCTTCAGTCCCAAATACCACTTTAGCTCAGCTGAAAGGCAGGTTTCCTATCTGTATCTTTAAGCAATTGTTTTGCAGGCGTTGAACCTGACTTCTGTTCTCCTCTTTGTTGAAGGGAGTCTGCCTGTGGTTATTGTACCATCCTGGCTTGTTGACTGGACCTGCATGCTGCTGTGAGGATGAGATGGTTGCCTAGTCTATTCTACTGTTGCTATTGCTCCTGCTTTGCCACCCTGGGACTTGTGGTCCCTGTCAGGTACGCCTTGTGTGAGGCTCTGGGGAATCGAAGGTGGGAAGGTTCTGTTTTTGGGGGAAGGGAGGGGTTTGTTTGCTTTTAATTATCTAGCAGATATCTTGTTGTAAATATATCTTCTGGGGGCTGTCCTGCAGTGTGGAAATACCATGAACTGGAGGTAGAAATGCACTTGATTTTGTAGACTTTACAAAGCCTGGCTTGCTCACTGGGGCAGTGCAGAGGGGGCTCGTTGCCGTAACTGTATGTTTCTGCTGATTTTATTCTCTGCTTTTTATTCCTGCTGTCTGAAAGCATGTTTTTCTCAAGTCAATTTAGATTTCTGTGGTGAGGTTTTATTTTTGGCCTTAAATGCTTAATTAAGGAGTTATTATTCATAGAGTTGCATTTGGTAAGCTTTATTGACTTCAAGAAAAAAAAAAAAAATCTGCCTATAGCTTCTGTTTCCTGGTCCTGAGTACTTTGTTGTCTTAGCATTCCATTTCTTTTTCTTGTTCTCTGGTTATTCATGCCTGGGGAGATGTGGAATACTGGCATGCGATTTGTGAGAAGTGAAATATTTAAGCCAGTGGCAGGAAGAGGTGTATGTTTCACTGCTCAAAACTAGATTCAACTTCTGCACTGGATCTTTTGGTATGTTTTTTTCTAAAACTGTTCTGAGACCCAATTTCCCAGCCTCTACTGAGTGTTTTTTTTCCTGAAAACTTGATAGACCGACCATCCTTTCTCCTACTTATTTCTTGACTTTCTTTATGGATAAAAGCAAATACTCATAGGGAGTATAAGGTAAAGTCTAAATGCATTTTAGTTGCTTCTTAATGTGCACCAATTGGACAGATCAACGGGAAAAACATTACAGCAAAGGTGTGATGATAGAAGGACTGGCACAATAGAGGGTGCTATCAAGGAAGGAAAGAGGATTGTTCATTTGTATCAGAACATTCTAGGTTCACAGGGGAAAGCTTCACCAAGGAGAGATCTCCAGAATGAGATTCTTCCCCAGTGGCAGTCAGCCCTTAGATGAGATTTAAGATAGGGGCTCCCTTCCGGTCACATAGGTGAATTGTCTTCATCTGTGCTCCCAGAGCTGACCAGGTCCTTTCTCCAAGAGCTCAATCAGTGGTTCAGGCTGTGACCCAGCAGTTCCCATACATAATATAACTTAGCAATGAAAATTCTAAGAAGTAAGCAATACCTGGAGATTCAGGCATATGCTTTGCAAACGGTGTCTGGAGATGATAATTAGGAAATCTCATGATTGTAGTGATTTGTTTTTGTGCTTTTCTGCTTACTTCAGTGGCTAAAAATCTTGATTATGCTTTTAAAGTGGATGTTGTTTTTACGATTCGGAACAGTAGGGACGTTTTGTAGACTTAAACACAGAATGGATGATGCTAGAGTAATTCTGTCAATATGCACGTGTTTGGTTTGGAAACTGCTAGTAGAATGCTGAAATGCTCTGTGCAATTGGCAAGAGTAAAAACTGATGCCCCCAAAACCTCATTGATTATTTGTAGCAAACACTGCGTATTGTATCACAATGTTCTCTCCCCTTATTGAGAAGGGGAGAAAAAGAACAACTTAACACTACTCAAGGAAAAAAATAGGTGTTTCAGTGAACATCTGAGTGTTATCAGAAAAAATATTTTCATTTCAACTGCATCTCCTAGTGTCATTTTTTTTTTTTTTCCTTGTAAGACCGTTCTATATGCAGAGTTGGAAGATGTTCTGTTGTAGAATGAATATATTCTATCTTTCAGGATGTGAGAAAGAGGCTTGGAAGTAAAAGATTTTTAACTATGTTAACAACTTACTTTTTGCTGGTTGAACTTACGAAGCATGCTCTAGTGTGATTCCTGAGATTGGCTAAAATATTGTCAGATCCAACCATAGAAGAGAAGGAGTGTTAAAGATTATCACAAGGCTATGTAAAATCTTGTGATACTTCCTGCCCTATATGTAGGTTTGTGGGTGGTGTAGACCATAGAAATAGCTAAATGACCTTGGGGGTGTACAGCACTTAGTGTTTTCTTGTTTCTATTATGCCTGAACTCTGCTACAGAAGCATGACATAGTAGTGCAAGCAGTAGGTTTTACTATCTCTGGGGAATCTGGCTAGACTTACTGAGCTGTGAAAGGTGTTCAGAGATCTTATGCACAGGTGCTATTCTGCAGTGACATTCTTGGAGTTCCCAGAGTCACAGAATTGTTCACATTTATCACATAAATGGTTAAAAGGTATTGGGCTCTGTCAGGCCCCAGGGCCTCTTTCTTTCTGTTTCATTTCTGAGTTTCTGCTCCTATTGTAGGAGCTAGAAACTTTTTTATTTCCCATGTTAAAGATGGAAGTTAGAGGTTTAATTTATAACTCCCTGTTCTTATTTCTTTAATTCTCTTACTGATATTCACTACTTTGTGTGTAGTCAGAAGAAATAGGCTTTATGAATTAGAGGTCAATAGCTTAAGGATATGTGGTGATGCCTTTAAGCGAATAAAAAGTATGCCATGGAAGCTGGATGGCTTCTCAGCCCACGGTCTGTATGTTGAATGCTGTATCTTGGTGTTTGATGTGGAAACTTATGTAAGTGCACTTGCATTGAGACAGATTTGGGAAAAAAAAAATAAAAAAAAAAATTATTCTAGTTAGAAGAACGTGGAGGAAGGTGTGGAAGTACAGAGCGAACTCCGCCAGCAGCTATGTGGCCCAGCAAGAATCAATTAAATCTTTCTTACTCTCTTCCCAAAGAAGTTTTGAAGCTCTTAGAGAACACAATAGGTAAGGTATAAAAGACTTCTAGCTTTTTCTTGCTGTGATGTTAATTCCCAGCCCTATGATGCAAACTAGGTACCCTCAAAGAGGAAAAAACTTGTTTTAACAAATTCATCTGTTCTGGTTGCTGCTCTATTTAAAGAGAATAGAATATGGGATATGTTACTGTCTTGGTGTTCGTGTTTATGGAATATTCAGGATGTGTTCTGTGTATGAAATTGGCTGAATGTTATTCCTGCAGATTCCTATTCCAGACTCAGGACAGTAAGCCAAATAAATACCCCATGAGGTCTTACGTTTTAGCTGAGAGCTAAGAAGAGCATTTGCTGTGCCTGTAGGACTTGAAGTATGTCTCTCCTGTTGATGGTGTTCCTCTTTATATAGATGAATACACATTCACTGGAGCGATGAGCTAAATTAATTTGAATAGTATCAGTTGACCTGAAATTACAGTTTTCAGTGAGTAGACTTTTTTTGGAAGAAAAATTGCCCAATTTTGATAGAAAGATGGCCATGATAGACCTAGGCAACTTGAGATTCCCACGCCTGCTGTTTCCTTTGGAATTTCTCTTGTTTGATGAATTGCCATAAAGCAGATGAAAAGGAGGAGACTTGGAGGTGCTTTATTTCTCCCCAGTGGAATAATTAATTCAAGCTTAGGTCTGAATCTCATAATTTGTTGTGTGTTACAGATTGCAGAGTCTCTGCAGATCCCCATGGGCTGCACTAAGTCACTCCATGGGAAAACAGCTATCTGCCTTTACAGAACCTTAGATCTAAGCATCCTTCTTAAGACTCTGCTGTTGTCTAAGAGGGTGAATCACTTCCTTTCTCTGGCTTAACTTTTCTCTCCTTTCATCTGAAGAAAACTCCCGTGGAGTTCAGGAATAGTTCACTATATGATATCAGAAATATAGAACTTAGGGAGAGACTGAGGAATTGAGATTCAAATGCAGTTTTTATTACAGATTCTGTAGGAAAATCCTGTTCCCTTCTTTCTTTCTGTCCTACATCATCCCTTAAAAAATGCATTAGTATTTGCAAGTTTGCTGTACAGGCTGTACAGGCCTGTTTATGCAATGGACGCGTATTTCTTGGGTGTAAATGTCATGCTAGTACATCTTTCTGACTTCTAGGTTGGCTTTGGCTCTTATCCAGTCAGTTCTAAGAGCAAAGAGAACTACCTGGGGCTGAACTGTACCTAGCAGAGATGGATTTTGAGTATATTTTATTAAAACAGCTACACATATCATGTCTTACATAGCTTAAGTAATTTTTGGCTTTAAAAACATCTCTTGAGGGAGAGGAGGCCAGTGTTGCAAACCTGTTATTTATTATTATTGCCTTTGCAATCCTGTCCTTGCTAGATTCCTTCTGAACCTGCAAACTCTAACCTGTCAGGTAAAACAAACAACAAATGAAGAAAGGTTAGAATGCAAAATCCACAGGTCTGTGTTAAAGTGCTGTTTTATCTACTACCAAAATTGTATGTTACAAAGGTGAAGGAAACCATTAGAGAACAGGTGCCCTGAATGAGAAAAGATTTTAGTCTGTGGACCTAGGAGCCTCCTTGTTGATTTATTTGAGAAAACTATTGTAGTTAGTACTTGATTCAGAGCAAAAAATGGAGTTTCTCCACTCTTCATCTTCAAGCAAAGACAAATGAGCTTTCATAATGGACCTTGCCCTGCCAATAGGAATAAATGACTGTGATTTCTGAACGTTTTCAAGGAGACCTGGAGACTCAATATGCAAAATCTCTCGTTCTATCACTGAAAGTGCAGCCTTGGATTATTACTGACAGCGAAGATGCAGTTAAAGTAAAGGTCATCCTGACTATTGGCAATAATAAATTCCAAGATTTGCTATCTTTTTGCTGAGGCCTGCGTTAGGCCATGCATCAAAAGCCTGTAATAAAACAAAAAAGTAGTTTGTCCTCACTCAATAAAAAATGCAACATGCATTTTTCACATTTGCTTTTTTTGAATGAGCTATGAAAGTACTCATGTTTCATATTGTCTTTTAAATTAACACACTAGGAGAACTGCCCACCAAACAATCTGTTTAATTCTGTGCCCACCTGTAATGTATAATTGAAGTTGCATAAAGTAATCTCTTGCTTGTAGGTGTAGAAATCTACATTTTTTGAATAAAGACTGATTATAAACACTAGCAAGTTAATTCAGTTTTCAGCATGAAAGCTTGAGGTTTAAAAAGATACAACATTAAAGAT